CACCCATGCATGCTGGGTGAAGCATGCAGCCCCAGCAGTGGGACCAGCAGGCAGCACACAGGCTGGACCAGCTGTGTGCAGTGCACACAAGACAGAGGACTGGCATGGGGCATGCGCTGCACATGGCACCCTGCCGACCTAGCCCTACACACCGAGTCTGACAAAACTTGATCCGAACCAGCCCTAGACCTAGCACACAGGGCCAGTCCAGCACAGATGCTGAATTAAGAACATGCCCTGTGCCAGCCCCCTGAGTGGTGTGCAGCACTTGTGGAACCTGGTTCTGCCTGCACACCAGCCCAGCTCAGAGACACACGAATCAGACCATATGGCTCCATGGGCTAGATCTGGCCTGCAGGCCATACATGTAATGTATCCTGCCCTAAATGATGGGCATTTATATCCCTTAAATACTCACTTGTAAGAATTATTTGACATGGAATTTACAGGGGTGGACCTTGGGGCCTTTTGAGAAAATGGAAAGGGGCTAAACTAAGTAGTAGTGAAGATATGGTATTCCCCTCATGCCACACCCGCTAACTGCCCTGTGTGGGCAGTGTGCTTGTGAAGGTGGAAAGCAGACATTGCTGTGACTAGGGTAACAAAGTTTAGGATGTGGCATACCAGACAATTGAGGGCCTATGTTTTTGGGTATGGTGGGGGGGGGGAAAAAAGGGGAGTAACGGACAGCAGCAACAAGGGAGCTTCCTGGAGAGGTCTTGCCACCACCTCTGGCTGCCTTAGAGGTCCCATCAGCCCTTCCATAATGCTAGGAGGAACCAGAAGAGAAGTAGGTAGCAGATGGGCTGAGAGAGAGGCAGTAAGGGAAAGAAAAGCAGCACACCCATCTCTACCTCTACAGTCCAAGCTAGTTTAGGGGAAAGGACTCAGCTTTCTGTGCTACAGAAATATATGCAACACAGAGGTGTGAACTGTCCCATGCGGACTATCAAGGTGTTCTTCTCAGCACTCAGCATGCCCCCAGCCTGGCACTTTCCTGGGCCTGGGCCTGTTTCGCTTTGTACTTTGTTGCAAGAATTCAGAAAGGCTCCTCCGACACAAAATAGAAATTTGGCATGGCTGGGTCTCTTGTACCAGCCTCACCTTCAGTGTAGCAGCAAATCCCCACTCTCCTAGACTTGGCACCAAAGATTAGACACAGCCACAAATGCAACTGCTCCAGCACAGCACACAAGTAAACTGCATAGTGGTGCACTTGCAGGATGCTTAATTGTCTCAAAATTGCACGTGCACCGTGTGCTCCCAAAGTGTCCCTCTTCCATTGTGGTCTCAGACACCAAAACAGCAGCATTCGGCTTCCTCGAAGAGAAGCAACAGAATCATACATCCTTGGGCACAAGAACAGCCTCTCAGCCATGTGAAGCACAGCACTCTATAGTTATCACTCACAAAAGCATGCCTAAAGGGGGCCTATTGCTCACACTGTTGCTAAAGCATTTGAGGTACAGTCAACAGAAATTTTTTGAACCAGGGAGTTGCAGTCCATACACTACAATGTACATTTTTGAGAGTCAGGTGCAGTTTCTCTCCCAACCTTAGCTCTGCACAAAAACATTTTTTTTTTTAAAAAGAGGCAAGCAGCAGATTTGAGGGAAAGAAGAAAAAAAAAGAATTCTCTCTCAGGAACTCCTTAGCAAAGTTGGACTAAATTTATACCACAAAGGTAAATTTGTACTGAGGCAGCATATCAGAGCCCACAGCATCCCACTGTTCAAGACAAATCTCTCTATGCAGATAGATTTGGGGTGGGGGGGAGGGGGGGGGAGAGACAGCATAAAAAAGGACCATTTTTGTCAGAAAACTGCTTCATCCTAACAACAGAACCTATAGTTGCTTCTCTACCTTATTGTTGGCACAAGGGTTAAGCCTTCCAGCTGGAGCCCCTTTGCTGGCTCAGAGCAGTAATGAAAGCATGGGTTTCAGAAGTCTGCTGATGGAAGGACTTGCCCTGCTGTCCTTAGATTCCTCCCAGTGACTCATGTAAGCTGAACTCCTCTGCTTGTGTAGCCACCACAGCACAGCAGACTGGCTTCCAGTGCCTGTGCAAACCAGTTTCTGTGGCATGGATCCTAGTGGCCTACCAATTAAGAGTAATTTATTTGTAAGCACTGCTTCCCTGATGTGGAATTCAGTGCTGAGTGCACCAAATCTTAGAACAGTATTAGTCACAGATATGCACAAAAAAAAAAAAGTAACAGCTTCTTCCCCTCACTACAAGAAGCTCTCATTGAACTCGTGATCAAATGATCTCAAATTTGCACTGCCTACCCTTACCCAGACACCCAAGACGCATCAGTTTTCAAGGACAGTGAGTATGCATATGGATTTCAGATTTAACTCACTGTTAAAGAGAAAGCCCTGCTCAACCATAATTAGTAGTGCTTCTCAGTTTTTAAGAATGTTCTTCTCACTAAATGGCTGAAGCTTTTTTTTTTTTTTTTTGATCCAAGCTTTTAACCTCATGCTTGACTTGCAGAACCCCTTGTCATAACACAGTGTGAAGAGCACTTGGCCTTTGGCACTACTGTATAGAAAAATGCTGGCTTTCATCTGAAAGTACCACCCTGATCCTTCATTACAAGGGAAATGGGAATGCTTCCTTTATCCTATGCTATTCTATTAATACATATTAAAATACTGTATTGTGTCCATTTAAAGACCCTGCCCTAACTTACACACACCCTTCACAGCAGACCTCTCCTGGCCTATCTATACTGCCTGTCAAACTACACCAGCCCAGGTTAGAAAATGATGCACTGAAAGGTGCACATCCCTAGTGAAACAGCATTAAAGACAGCAGTAGATTGTGATCACATTGGTTCATAGGAAACAAAAGCAGTGCACAGTTGGGGCTTGGTTTCTTTTTCTTAGAATTAAGTATAGAAAGGAGAGCAGTATTACTGACATGGTATTGTTTCTACAGTAGGGAGTGTGTGTGTATATATAATTTCTATAGTATAGTACATATTAATGTATCAGTAGATGGTATAGATAGTATATATTACCATATTTACTCAAATGCAAAATGAGGGTGTTTTTTTCCCCCTCCCCAATTGGTATGGGAGGGGAAAAAAGTCTCTCATCTTATAGTCGCATACAAGGAAATCTCACTAAATACAATGGCCATCATTAAGCTGCTGCCAAAAGTAGCATTCATCAGGGTGTGGAGCTGCTCCAGAGCCCAGCTGGGATCTTGCAGTAGTGACAGTATGGTCCAGAGCCAGGGCAGAGCTCCCATCTGCAGCCTGCATGCCCCGGGCAGGGGTGTGCATGCAGCAGATCACGGCTCTGCCTTGGCTCCAGACCATGCTACCACTGCTGCAAGGAGCCAGGGCAAAGCCACGATCTGCTGCCTGCACACCCCTGCCCAGAGCATGCAGGCTACAGATCACGACTTTGCCCCAGCTCCAGACCACGCTGTCACCATTGCAAGATCCCAGCCAAGCTCAAGAGCAGCTCTGCGCCCCGCTGTGCACTGCTAGGGCCGGTCTCCACAGAAACCCTGGCCTCACACTATCAGTGGGGCTGCTGCTGGGGTCTCCATGGAAACCAGCCCCAGCCACATGGGCAGGGACTGCTGGGAAATGGAGTCCTGCCGCTTCCCAGCTCTACCATTTTGCCCACCCCTGTTCTACAGATTCCTATGACAATGAGTTTCAGAAATAAACAACATACTGTATTAAAGAGTGCTTCCTCCTTGCCTCCTGATCATTTCAGTGGGTGCCCCCTAGTTCTTATTTTCCAGGATTTGGTGAATAACAGATCCCTGTTCATTTTATCCATACTCTTCAAGACAAGAGACAGATTTTGAAAAAAAAAAATATTTTATTGGAACTCATCTGAACATCAGATATACCTGGTGTTGGTTAGCAAGAACCGTTTGTACATTTGATATTGATGGTGCCAAAAACCCAAACAGTGACTGACTGGATGAGATGGAGAGTTAAGGAAAAAAAAATCAAAGTTAAAATGTGGACAAAGCAGAAAAATCAGCCAGTCTAAGATTTTAGTGTGAAGGCAAAATATCCCTCAATAAAACAGAATCCTTTTACAAAATATAAATTTAGTAATAAAAAA